GCCACCACGCTCGCCACCACGGTCGCCCGACCGGTTTCCGCCGCCGTACTCCGCCGCGCCCGCCGCGTGACTGCTGACTCCGTGGAGGCTGCGAAGGAACGTTCCAATTCAGTCGATCCGTCTTTTTGTCATCCATCTACAAACACATCCTCATCCTCAAACCTCTACCCCCCACACGACCGACACAACCAACACTCACCCACAGAAGTGTGTTTCTGGGAATAGACACACACGCGTGTTTCTGGAAATAGGTGATACACACACGTGTTTCTGTGAAACCCGTGGGTATCCAACATCCCCGAGAGGGCAATACCTCGTCAGGCAGAATTAGTGCCCATGCTCGTCCGTGGTGTTGTGTGTTGCCCTGCAATGTGTGGGTGTCCGTAAAGCGTGTGAGCCAGAGCGTGTGTTGGGGCCTTACTGAATTGGAGAACTTGTGCCAAAAAAATTAACCCCTTGCCCGCGATGGAGGACCCTCCCCCACCGTGTTCTTCGGATGAAGAAAGCTCCGACACCATCGTGATCGAACAAGAAGAAATTCTCCCTACCATCCCCATCAATGCTTTCACTCCCGAGCCCGAATCAACCCCCGCGCCAAACCTCTCTCCGCCCGCACGGAGCTCCAAACCCGGACTCCTCAAACGTCACGCGAGTCGCACTCCCGAGGCGGGACCTGCACAGACGCCCAACATAGACGAGTCCAACATAGGCGAGTCCAACATGAGCGTGGAAAAGTCTAACATGGACAAATTTAGCGTGGGGAGACCCACAACGCGGGTGACAATGAAGCTGCGGTCTCAGGAGCATCCCTCCGACACGTCGGCGGCTGCAGCTCGAGTCCCGAGTGGCTTGGCCTCCACAGCTGTTGGAATGGCGTCGCCGGCTGGCTCGGACGTCTGCGCGCGCCCTCACTCGGAGAAGGGGCCTGGTGCCACGGAGAAGGGGCCTGGCGCCAAGTGGCTGGAGAGTCCGGCCCCCTCGGGCGGTCAGCGCCCGGCTTCAGTCCAGCTCTTTACCAACGAGTCTTCGACGACCGCCAGCGTCCCCTTCGCGACCGTTCCCGCGATCGCTCCCACGGCGGGTCGCGACAAGAATGGCCGAGCCGCTGAAAATGGAGTCGCCGAAGACCCCCAGCAGTCTAAAAAAGTCAAGGTTGTCCTCAATACCGGCGTGAGTTACCTGGCGGCCCCACAGGCCTCTTCGGAACAGTCGGCAAAGAGACTTCACGAGCTATTGAAAAAGAACTCGCTTTTCGAGAAGCTGTTCAGGCAATTCAGGTTCAGCTGCAGCGGCTGTCGACTGCCGGTAGTCACCAGCCAGCTCAGTCGGGTGGGAAGGCATATAGAAGAGTTCATGGACTTCGGAAACTTTGAATGCGTTCATGCAGTTGTAACAATGGCTCCATGTACTTTCCACTTACGCTTTTCCCTTAGCTTGGCACTTTCCACTTACGCTTGCCCCGCACTGTATCCTTCCGCACTGTCACGACATGTTCACCGTGCCTTATAGTATATCTTCGTAGTCGCACGAACGCCCAAGCTCATGATGTGCAATTTCAACCGGGGTCTGGTATTGGACGGCGAGAAGTTGGCTAAACTATCCCCTAACCAAGTGAGCCAGATGCGCGAATTGTGGAGACATGTGTCGTCTTACGTGGTGCGTTATCTGGTTACCCAGAGCAAGGGTTACGACGCGGTTGTAGAGCAACTGCTTTTGAACACCGGTAGTGGTAATGCTGTACCGACGGTCGACTCGGCCGCAAGTGTGGAAGGTTTCAGTCATGTGCGATTGCGACGGATACTATGTGCGTGTATTTCAGGAGTGCTATGTCAGGAACTGCCTTGGCTTCGGAGTTTCATACTTAATGACCCAGCTGCGGAACAAGAATGGGCGTTCAAGATCCAGCGCTTTCAGGAGACTTGTTCTTATGACTCACAGTTCCAGTCTCTAGTACGCGAGGAGACAATCTCAATTGAAGGCAAGTGTGTGTGGGTAGACCCTGCCATGAAACGACCCTTGGCCAGACAATCCCAACTCCTTTGTCGGGTCGCCGGTGCCTCTATAACCAACAAGCAAGCCAAGAGCCATCTCATGATCACAGACACGGAACGAGTGGCACTATTCGAAGCCACGCATCCCGTCATTACTGGCAACCAACTTATCGAGATGTTGATGAAGGCCGACATTGATTAATTGACTACCCAGGTCCTACATGACCCAACATTCAGGTCACCATGTAGGCTATGTGGGCCACCACTAGTCCAAGTACCAATTGCGACCGCTAAATCAGAAAGACTTGCTTTAAGAACCAAGCTCCGAAAGCTCAACTCGAAGCTCCGAAAGCTCAACTCGAAGGAGTAGCCCAATCTGGAAAAAAAGTCCGCAAAGAGAGCTTGAGACGGAGATGCTGTCCTTACTGCAAGTGCACCTAAGTTGTTAAGAACTTGGCGGAAGCATACGTAATTAGATTTGTTATTTTTTGGTGTTATTAAGAACCCGAAATCCACGATTTGTCCCCCACATGAGGGACGACTCCGCACCCCTGGTGGTTAGTCTTCCACGCGACCTGGAAGACTGTGGTTGTTGGGCGGAATGCCGTCCGGGACCTTTACGGCTCGTGCTTCACATTGGAAATATTTTTCGAACGTGTTTGGCGCTAACCAGAACTCGACGAAAAACAGCAAACCGGTGGAGCCCTCATCATCGCAGGGACGATCATCGTCGCAGCACAAAGGGCACCCGTCAGCGGTCGGATCGGTGCAGCACGGAGGGTGCCGTCTTCATCTAAAAGTGGGGTGTTACAGAGGGCGGATTTGCAGCTAACTGGGGTGAGTGACTGAGCACTCACTTCACCTGTACACAGATGGATCTTGAGTCAATTCGGGTTTATTCGGTTTAGCCTCCACGTCTAGCGGGCCCGGGCCCGGTCCCTGACCCGGCTGGGGAAGGTCCAGCCGGCCCCACCTGGCCGGGTCCGGATAAGTAAGGTCTAGAGGTGTCTCGCCTTGGGGGTTTCAACTAGTGGTTCTTTTGCCTTGTTAACGCGTCCTGGACTTCCTTTTAGTGTTCGTTTCGGCAGTCTTCACCTTGGAGGTGCCATCATCAATAAGGTACGTATCCAGAGGTATCGAGTCTGATATGAGGACTAGCCTAATGGTAGCGCCCCGGATGGTGATGTTATCCACATTTATCGGGTTCCGTGCCTTGACGGTCATCTTGGCATTCTTCAGGTGCATGTTCATGGCCACGTCCACCCCCACGATGGTACCTTGGATCATAGTGCCATTCTTCAGCTCCACGACCACTGACTCGTTGGCCAATCGCATCAAGAACCTTACCAGCTTCATGTTTCAATTACCACACAAAAAATGACCCGCCCATAACCCCGCATTGTTTGGAATGATTAATTGGACAACCAACTAACTACTCAGTTAGCTAACGAGCAACCAACTAGATGGCTAGCTAGACAAACTGAGGTAAGTAGAAAGGCGGGAGCTGCCTCTTGTAGAGTGGTAGACAAACAGTTTCACCATGTTCCACGGGTGCGCTGAAAACGCACTTCATATCGCCGTGTGTGCCCAGTGCTTCTTTAATCTTGCCTTGCCTGCCCCGTTTGGTGAACAGTGTGATTGGCGCGAAATAATCTACGTCATTCCGAGTGAGGAACATTCGACTAATGGTTGCCTTCTTGCCACTGATCTTCTGCGGGTAACCGGTTAGCAGGATTCGCTTGACAATGAGTCGGTTGGTATCTGCACTGATATAATTGCCGTATCCTAAGGCCAGTCCAGGAGTGGGTCTTTGTCTAGTATCATTTTGTATAATTTTATCCACTTCCTGTTGAAATTTGTCGGGCATGTTTAGGAACCAGATGAGTGCGGGTCCGGGGAAAGCCTGGCAAGGGCCCACGGCGGACAGGATGCCGGGAACCTTGGTCGTCTCGGACAGGTACCGCGTGGCACTCAGCTTGTGGCCGGAGGGGTTACCTGTTTCAGCGGGCACGGTATAACCGCCATGTCCCTGTTTGCTGAAAATGGCCTTGACCGAGTGTCTTCGGAAACCACACTGGATAACGAGCTCACTTTTGGTCGGGACCGGAACGTCTTCGCAGTCGCCGAAACGGTTACATGAGTAGTGTTGCACACTTACTTTTCTCTCCAGCAAGCTGATGGTCGACACTACCAATGGCTTACTCGTAGCCAGCCTCCGGTCCAGGGCCGTAGCGAACTCGTCAGGCACCCGCAGAGTCAGACACATATAACGAAACTTACCCCCCTTACCCCTCTGTTCGGCAGTGGAGCTCGCTGTCTCCAGCGCCTTCCGGTAAGCATCCGCTGCGGCCTTCAGGATCTGCTTGTACGGCTTAATGGAATACACCTGAGAATACCATTCTGGTATGTCGTACTTCTCCACCATGTCCCAAGGTGAGTTCTTGAAACTCTTTAACCCTCGATACTTCCGGAAACGCTGACGGGCACTTACATCATTCGGCGTGTCCTTCTCATCCGGAAACTCCATTTCGACCCAGTCACGTGTTTGGAACTTACCATGGACCGTCTCGTCCTCCGTCTCCTCACCTGCCGCCCAGTCGTCATCGGAAAGCGCGTCCGAATAGGATTCGGACGCCGTATCAGTCATTGTCCCCTCCGCTTCCGTCGTCACCTCCTCCTCAATCGCAGCCATGGACTCCTCGGCTTCAGTCATCCCCAACTCTGCGACTCCGAACGCACCTGAGATGGCGGGGGCAGCGGAGTCATTTGAACTGGGGGCAGCCTTAGTCAAAACACCCCCATTAGGGGCAACATTTCCACCGGGGACGGCCAGAGACTGCCAGCCTCGCTCGAACGAATCAAAGTCGGCTAGCATCTCCACTGTCTCGTATTCTCCCGGGGTCAACGTGTTTCCACGGAGCGGAACCACTCCCACCTCCAGCACGGGAAAGTCTCCTACGCCAGTTATATGGACGGGAAAGCGAGTCGAAAAACCTAGGCCGCGAGCGTACATCTGAATCTGCAGCTTGCCGTCATCTACCTTCGCCCAGCTGCCAGCGGGCACTATGCCGTAGCCACGCTGATCTTCTCTCCAACTTAGCCGAGGCAGTCCGATACTGCACATATGCCGAATAAAGTTGTTCATCTGACTGCTTCGTTTCTTGAGTTTATCGACACCCATTGCGCTCTGGATCGACTCAGAAAGGTCGAAACAGCGGGTCTCCTTACTGAAGGCCGATTGCACGGATCGGTTTACGATGTCGAAGCTGCCCTGCTCCGTCCAAGGGATCATGACACCGCAAACAGCCGGTAGTCCCTGCTTATGTAACAGAGACGTAACTTCATTGCCGAACTTGCCGAAACCCGCGTCGTCCACCGTTGCGTCTGCGAATACAGGAACCACAATGTCGGCGACCTTGCATATATCCAGCGCATCAATAACTGCGCTTGTCAAGTCGGCTTGCGAACACGGCTCCGTGGGATGCTGGATGGCAACAATGTCAATCCACTTTATCTTCCCCGCCCACGCAGGCAGAAACACTGTAACCGGCTGCCCAGCCTCGACCTTGGCCACCGTACTCTCAAACAACTTCTCCGCGTCTTCTTTGCTCCAAGTTGTCTGCGCCAAATCTCGACAGACATACGCCACCACCGCCTTGGCCAAGGCCACGCTCGAAGCAGACGGACTCACAGGAAGGAAACACACCAGCCGTGGTGCTTTGCCGCTGTTAATCTCCTTCTGCATCAACTCCTTTATGTGCGCAGTCTTCTGGTCTCGTAACGCCTTGCTCCTGTCCTTGCGCGCATCTTTCCCAACAACCACCTTCGGACCCTTGTTATTCTGAGCCTTCACACCCGCCTTCTTGGTTTTGCTCGAGCCCTTGAAAGGCCTATTCCGCTGGACCTGAGACGACCTGTGGCCCATGATTTTTTTTTACCCCTGCCACACGAACATCCATCTCCAGAACCTCCAACAATGTTGCCGTGGAACTTTTACCACGACTCATATAGGCATTCATCCGCTCCCATATTTTATATCGCAGCGCGCACGCGCGCGCACACACGTGTTCGAAATTAAATAAATGAAGGGACTAATCCTTGTCGGAGGATATGGGACGCGACTGCGACCGTTGACGCTGTCAGTACCGAAACCTCTTATTCACTTCTGCAACAAGCCTATTGTTGAATACCAAATTCGAGCTTTGGTTGAGGTAAGCACACCATTTATTCTTTTGTCATTATCCGTTTTGCAGCTGGGAGTTAAACATGTGATATTGGCCGTGGCCTACCAGCCGGATGCAATGAAGGACGCGCTTAGAAGGCTCGAGACGAAGGTAGGTGCCAATAACCGGGCTGATTCACTCGATTTTCTCCAAGCACCCTCGGCACGATTTCTTCCGGCATTAACATTGCTTGTTCCTGTAGTACAACATTCGCATATCCTGTTCGATAGAAGACGAGCCTTTATTGACTGCTGGCCCCATTCGTTTGGCGGAGAGCATGCTAATGGAAAGGGAAGAGGGGGAGCAGGATGCTGACTTGTTTTACGTGTTTAATAGTGACATTATCGCGGAGTATCCTTTGAAGGAAATGCTAAAGTTTCACAAGCAGCACGGAAAAGAGGGTACTATATGCCTAACGAAGGTGAAAGATCCATCTTTGTTCGGAGTAGTGTTGTCCGATCCGGTAACTGGACAGATCTCGAGATTCATTGAGAAGCCTCAGGAATGGATAAATGATGACATCAATGCGGGTATTTACTTGTTCAACACGTCGATGATTCGGAGAATCGAGCATCGGCCTGTTAGTATTGAAAAGGAGATTTTTCCGAGGATGTGTCAGGACGGGCAGCTGTACAGCTATCAGTTACCCGGATATTGGGCGGATATCGGAAAGCCACGAGATTTTTTGGACGGTACGCGTCTGTATTTGCAGGCGCTTCAGGAGAAGCAAAGCAGTTCCTTGGCTGTCTCGCGACCTTCGGCTGTTGGACATTGTCCCGTTGGACGGCACGCAGCCGACCCGCCGTCGGGCGAGACCACGACGTCCCCGAGCTTGGAGGCATGTGGCAAGGACAAACCGCCCGATGCAATAACCGGATCGTCAATCATAGGTAACGTACTCATTCACCCTTCGGCTTCTGTGGGTGATGACTGCCAAATTGGACCGGATGTGACGATTGGACAGAATTGCGTGATCAAGCCGGGCTGCCGGATAAGTAATACCGCGCTTATGGCGGACGTCACGATCGAAAGCCATACGAAGATCGACCAGTCCATCATCGGATGGAACTCCCGGGTCGGTAGCTGGGTTCGTATCGATGGACTAACAGTTCTCGGCCAGAACGTGAAAATATCGAAGGAGGTCCACATTAACGGAGCCTTCGTTCTGCCACACAAAGTCATCAACACAAGCATCACGGAGCCCGGACAAATTATTATGTAGACTCGCCACATCGCGGGGTTAGATCGGCCGCTTCGGCTGGGATGGACTTTTCGAATCGGAATAGTTCATTGACCGAATGGGACCCGAATAGATTTTTGATATTGATGGTTCATTTTTGAGCGATGCTTTGATCGATATCGAAACCGCAAGGCGCGACCAGCATGACGGTGGTGATCGATACCGTGGTCGACCAGTGACCAGCACAACAGTTTGGTTACTGAGATTTATCGGACGTGCAGCCCTTCAAGGCCTTCTTCCGTTGGAGGCACATATGAGAGTACATGTGGACGGATCCGGGTACGTACAAGAGCAGGACCCACATGTACACGTAACTCAGATTCAGTTCGAAGTTCATTCGATTAGGCATAGGAACCGGCCAGTGTTCGAATTTGGATGTCTTGAACAGGTCAACGGCCTTGACCATGGTAAGGACTTCGCCGAGGATACCTAGGGGATACAGGACCAGGAAAGCAGAATACCTGAGCCATTTCAAGCAGTATGGCACGTCCTTTCTCTGAGACATGGGTGTCGTCGCGTGCTAGACATGGGTGTCGTCGCGTGCTGTGGTGCTGTGCAGCTTACAATGAGTTGAAAAATGTAGAACGGATACCTGCAGAATTCGCTTAGGGTCCAGGCGGTAATAACCAGGGCTGTAGAAGCCATGAGGTGGGTGACTGGCAACAGCCTCCAAATGAAAAATGAGACATGCATTCTAGAAGCCACTTGCACTGAAATGAATGAATATAACGTGTGTCACATGACGTATGTGTGACATACACCATGTGTATACACCACAAGTATAAACCATGTGGGTACTCCTCATGTGCAGTCCGTACTGAAGGTAGTGACTGCGTCCGATCGAACCAGGCCAATGGCGGCATGGACGACTTCGAGTATAGGGAGCGCGGTAGCTAGACTGACGAGGAAGCCAACTTTGTCATACCACCGCCGTCGGTTGTTAGGGTAGATTGGATTGAACATCAGGGTCCGGAGCCCTATGAGAAACCATACGAACAAACAGCAGCAGTTGTAGGTGACAAGGTAGGAGGTCCTGGCATTTTTGTGCGTAACGTGGGTGGTGTAAGACGATTGCAACTGCTCCACTGTTGCCGACATTTTTCCGGAAAATAACAGACCACAGCAATGAGGATCTTAGCACAAAGAGAAAGTTATGCAGTGAGGACAGGCGTGCCTAGGAACATATGCCTAGGAGCTTCATTAGTTCGGGTTTGCTTGCTTTGTGCATGGCGGCCCAGGTCTTAAGAACGAAGACCAATTCGTTTCGGATGAGAAGGGACCTGCAAAAATATATAGGGGTAGCGAAGGTGGGTGGGACAAATGTGTGACGGGCTGCTTACGGAACAATGAAGCCCATGCTGAATGAACGGACTTCTTCTGGAGAGTTGCTGTGGACGATATCATCGAGTTTATGTTTGGGTCTTTCCCTGTGCGTGATATGGAAACACAGGTCTGGATTAGGTACTGGGTCGTCGGTGGTGAGTCTGTCGATGAATTGCATGAAGTTCGGGCAGTTCATTCCCGGTTGGGTCTCTATGGTGCTGTCTATAATGCATTTGATGGGTTTGAGGCTGAGGGGCTTGATGACTGGCGCTTGAGAGACGTCCACAGGGTAGAGCCAGAGGGTTGCAGTGTCTATGTCGATGGCTATTTTCTCCATGCAAGGACGGCCGTCTTTCATGATGCGGATGCAGAACAGGTCGATGTCTCCCTGGATGATTCCTAGTGCCCGGTTCGCATCCCAAAATAATGCAGCTACGTCAGGAATGGTAAAGTGCACCGGAGCTGGAACCTCGCTAGACGGGCTCGGATCAGGAGGCACCGCCCCTGGCGGGGGTGGGTCATCCAGCATGAGGTATCTGGTGTAACTCATCTGGTTATTCATCTCCAATAGCACCTCCGCTCCGATCTGACCTATGTCCAAGGTCCGCGGAATTCGGACCGCATCGAACGTCCTATCCTCACGGAGATACTTCATGTCCTCTCGGTACTTCAATTTCTTGCCGTAAGGAGCATACAGGATGCCGACTACAGAGCATGTAGAAAGAAGCAAGGAAGGGGAGGAAGGAAGGGGAGCGAGGGAGGGAGGAAGGAAGGAAGGAAGGAAGGAAGGGGAGGGAGGAAGGAAGGAAGGAAGGGGAGCAGCCTACACTTGTTGAAGTGCTTGCTCCTGCAGGCCGGAATCGACAAGATTGAAAACTCGAGATCGAACCAACCTTCAATTGTTGTAACGCGGAGATCATTTGTCTTTACCGATTTGTACCGCGATTGAAAACCTTTAAACGCACCACCATACTCTTGCAGTACTGTACTGATGCGCCGGGTCATTCGGCGACGCGCTTCTCGCAACAACTCTAGGTCTCCCGCAGATAAATCCAGCTCATCAGTCATTTTGTCAAGGACTGTCGCGGTTCCCGATGCTTCTACCTCAATCGTCTCAAACTGTTTGTCTTTTTCCTCTACATTTCGTTCGCTTGGTACATCCACGTCACCCGCTGCCATTTAGTGCATGCAAAGTGCAGCATCCCGGAAAATCATATATACGGGCATGTAGGTCCCCTTGCTAAAGGAAATAGAATGGTGCTCGCAGATACAACGCCTGCTGTGATGCCGGACGCCCGACATTCATGATGATGGCGAAAATTGCAAAGTACATACCAGACGCCGCGTTAATTACAGTTCCGCGTCCGAAATGACTAAATAGCACACGCGTGTGCTATTCATGGGGACACAGTGTATTTTGCATGTTCCGTTGTTACAGAACTGCTTATGAAGTTATAGGAGTTCCAGCGTCTCTTGTTTGGTCAGATTCATTGGGTCTGGTAAATCGATTTGGTTTGAGCCATGTAGATGGAATTCATCTCTTAAGATCGTGGGAAGAGGCCGCGCAAGTCATTAGAAGTTCGTTCTCAAGATGCTTGGAGTATTTTCCAAGTGCGAAAAGCCGGTTGGTATTCAAGAGGTACGGAATGCTGGAAGGACTGTCTCACGCGCTGGCATGTGATGAGGACATCCAGGAGATCTGCGAATATATGTGGCAAACATTGAGCATATGGATAGTCGTGCAAAGATGTGGAAGTGGGAGTGAAGTCAAGGACGAAAGCAGGACTGGAAACATGACTGGAAACATGACCGGCTGCACGTCATCAATTGGTGAGTGTTGTCATCAGGAGAAGTGTGCAACCATGTGTAAGACGAAAAAACGAACTCCAGGACAAGGCATAATTACCGTTCAATCTGGTGCCCTGCAATCTGGTGCCCCCGTGAAACCCAGTACTCGTGATGAAGAAGGTGTTACAGGAGATAAGAAAGGGCCGTTTGAGATTGTGTTCTCAGTATCCCAACAGCCGGGTCAGTCGGTTAAGACAGTCCGTATCAAACAGGTCAGCCTTTCGGAGCGTTTGTGGTTGATCTTGGAACCCCGCGTGCTTGTGGCATGCTTGGTCGGAGCCGAGTGCCCCGGCTGCGTCTTTTTTCCGGACAGTTTCCACCTGCAGCAATTGCTAACGGAGCTACAACTGCCGGTGTCCGGGAACACGACCTCATCGAACATGATCTCCCCGAACACGATCTCCCCGAACACAATCTCATTCTCTAAGGGCCATGCCGGGTGTCGGGTCTTCATTGACGGAATGGACCGCATATGGGAGGAGTGGAACAACGCGCCAATTATACAGTACGCCGATGCCGAGGAAAGGGCAGGCCTTATGAACACAGGAACCATGAAGGTAGGAACCATGAAGGCATTTGCAGAGTTGATTCATCCTCGGGCTTTGTGTGTCTCAACCTTAGCTACTGGTCCCGGTTTGACAGTGTTTGCTTCCGTGGGAATGTTGGTGGCCTTGGTACCATTTCACACCTTGCTACAAGGTGGCCTATCGGTCGCCTTTAAGCGGTTTCCCTACCTTGTGGCTTTGTGTACTGATGAGGAGATGGCAAGTGTCCCAAAATACGACGAGCTTCGACCACACCTGTTTTCTAAGCTCTGGCTAGTTCGATGGGTGGATTACCAATTCTTCGGCCAACTGGATCGTTGGGCGTATCCTGTTTCGTCGGCCGCATCCTCGTCCCTGGATGATACCATGCGCCCCGTCTGGAATTTTGATGACATGGATTTGATCCTGGCTACCTGGTCCGTACTGATCTCTAACTGCCCTGGTCTCACTTTTCCCCGATTCTTGAAGTTGGCTCAGCTCATCCCACAGCCCTGGAACAGATCCAGCATCTCGCTCGAAGATATTCAACCACTTCTGGCCATTGACCGAACCTGCGCCCGAATGGTCAAAGCCATAATGCTCCAAACAGCCGCAGTTAACTCCCGGTCGACATCATCACGGCCCGTATCTTCACGACCCGTATCATCACGACCCGTATCATCACGACCCGCATCTTCACGACCCGCATCATCACGAACGGGAACTATGACCCGCCCACCGTTGCAGCCATCCGACCGCTGGCCTACGCTGACATCAACACCTTCGTCGTTGCCTGGGGTAACAGCCATTAATCACACGCTGCTGGCAGCAGGCGAGATACAGACTCCGGCTCCCGTTGCTCAGTTACGGAACATTTCAACGCAGGCGAGCTCACCCGGCCAGGTCCCACTGGAATCACCTACACCGCGACCAGAATTGAAGCCGGACGTCCCGTCCAGAAACTTGTTCTGGACGACAAGTGAAGATGAGAATCGCGCTGTGGTCGCGAATCACGGTGTGGAACGCCCCAATATCAGCCCAGAACGCCGGAAGTGCTTGGGCACGTCAACTAGAATCGGACCGGGCCACGTTCCTGCAAGTGTCTTCGAAAGAGCTCAAATTCCACTGGATGTAATTTGGGGCACGCACCGTTCTCGTGGCGAAGAGACCACCGACTGCAAGCGGTCCCGGCTGGCTAGCCCGGATACGGGAGCGGGCTTACCACGCTAGCGCGGGCTTGGTCAAGACGTGTGCGAGATTTTTCGTGGACAGGACAATCGTATAATAGACATTTTGTGGAATGTAGCAAAGAGCGCACATTTTATGGGGAACGCTTGTTGTGGTTCAAAGCCACCCGTGGAGGTCCCGGATGACGGCGAAGCTGAGCGGAAGTTGCGAGAAGAGCAAGAGTGGCTAGAATTCCAAAAGCGGAAGGAGAGCATGGAACTCAAAAAATCACAAGCGGCAGAGGCCCAGAAAGCTCTCCAACAAGATATCGATCAATTAAAGGATCAAATCGCGGATCGAGAAGCCGACAAGAACTACGAACGAATACCTTCTCATGAGCCAGTTCCTTCCACTAGCTAGCCAGAAACCTTCCACTGCTAGTCAGAAACCATCTAGAGTCAGAAAGTGTGTACCCATCCAGAAGTCGTGCAAAAGAAACCTTCAGAAATCTTCAAGTTGGTTTTTGACGTAGGACAGTGCGTTGATGCAGCTGAGATCGCCGCTGCTGCCAGTGAGCCAAAAGACGAAATGAGAGCAGACGTCTTTCGTCGATCGGAGTAGTGTAACTAAATCTTCAACTTCCGGCCTGGCGCGGTCAAAAAATTTGACAAGACGGAAGACCGACGCACTGACGCCCCCTTCGGCACAAATGTATGTCATGAACAGCCTGCACTTTGTAAACAGTTCTACAAATGGCAGTATGCGGCCTTCCATGCCAACGATGCCAATGGGCACTCCGGCTACAGTTCCTTCGTCACCAACCTCCACGGCTGCTCCTGACGGCGAGGTGGAGGGTTCGAGTCCGGCCACCGGTTCCACGAGTGCGATGTCTATTTTGAGTTGTTTCAAGAGGAGCTGTCCTTTCTCATGTTTGCGCAGAATTTTCGCCAGTTGATCATAAAATGAGACGTCCAGACTTTCTACAAACTCGGGCGTCAGGGAGAAACTTTTCATGTCCGACCCTGTAAAGTGGTTCAATGCTCTCAGCATGAGTTGTATGAGATCGACAATTGCTTGGCTCTTGAGAACAGTCTCTAGGGATTTTTTATAGCCGAGCAGAGGGACTTTTAATTCCGTCATTCCATCAACAAATCCGAGCGCAAACGTGTGTGCGGTTAAAAGTTCGATATAATTTGGGATGATCGAGGCTTCGAGTACAAGCCGATCAACCGGATCCCGGACCAGAGGTCCCGCCACCAGTCCCTGGTCCCGTCTGCGTGGCGGCTGAATCATTGGGAGTTGTGCCGTCTTCTTCTTTTGTTTTTTTTCTGGTTGATTCATGTCTATTATCTTTCGACAAATGCGTTGCTCATGCGGTTTGGCATGGAACCGCTTAAGCACGTTGGCATCTTCAACACTAAGTTCGTCCAAGCTCTGCACAGAGAATGAGAGTCGGCCTTCGAATCGTTTATCCAACTCGTGCTCCATAAACAGTTTTGTAAGTTGCCGATATCGGTCGGGATTGGTTACTATCTCTCCCACTGGTGGACGCTCCTCCTCAGCGACTTCTGGGCCCCAGAATTGAGCCCTAACGTCCTGAGGTTCGACTTGAATGTGCTCTTCTGCGCCGGCCATCTTTAGCTCCTTGCCAACCTCCCAAGGCAGTTTTACAAACCACTGTCGCTTCAGTCGGTTCAGAAGTTCCCGTTGCTTTTCTTGCTCCTTATATTCCTCCAATTTCTCGTAAATGAGGATCCGTTCTTTATCATCTAGCTCCATGCTTTTCAATGATTTTCCCTGCGCATAAAGGGCCGATAATTTGCGTTGAAGGAAGTCCCACTCTGCCGCTCTCGGGTCAACCATCGATCTGGTCCTTCCAGTCTCATCCACTATATTTTTCGGTCCCTTAGTTTGTGCCTGTATGGTGTGCAGCAATAGCTGGCGGTCCGTGATTGTCATGTCTTGATTTTCCAGCACTTGTCGCAGCGTCTGCCAACACTGCATCGCCTTCGCCGAGTTCTCCGCTGCTTGTTTCGGGGGTACTCGCAAATGCAACTGCATAAACCGCCCTGCTACATCCATACCGTATCGCCGCAGTGTTGGGTGCGGGTCATTTTTCATTAGACCCAGCGAACGCAACTGGGACTTGGCGAAGGAGTAAAAACCGAGATCCCGACCACCCTGGATGCTCATGGTTTCACGTCCCAGACGCTGCACGACCTCCAACGGCTTCGAGTCTGGCCTAGGAGCGAACATGCCCAGATGTTGGTTGTAGAATGCCATGTTCCAACATGGAACCAAAAAATCCGGGTGCTGAAAGGGTCCAAAGTCATAGCCCTGATTAATCCCCAAAAGTGCATGAGCTACCCATTGAAATTGGGCACTACTGAGAGCAGAAGAAGAACGCTGCACCATTTATTCGTTACTGTAGTTATTCGTGACTGCAATAAAACTAAACCTCTAGAAACTCATCCCACTTCAATACGTCAATAGCGGTTTACTTGAATACTCATTGGAGTCGCCTTTAAAGCAGCCTCACTGGAGTCACCCGCTCAATTAAGGTACCTGTTAGAATGAGTTCTCAAATGAGTTCTGCGGAAAACCTAGAAGCGGTTTTCGGCCGGAAGGCGACGCGTAGTCCGCATCTGTACTCCCCGGGTGACCGGAGTACTACAGTCGAGACACCGCACACGGACCCCCCTGATAGTCCTGGAGTGCTCGAGGATGTCGTAGTGATCCGAAAGGGACGTGTGAGTTCATATGAACGACGGGCGCACAAGGCACACCCCTCGGACCGATTAATTGTGCCCGAGCGTTTGTCTAGCCGAGAACGGAGTAGTCTGTCTGACCGCGTGACGGATCGCCAGCGCCGGTCGAGTGCGCGGTTTGATAGCGAGTCACAGACCATGGACTCCAACATGAGCTTCACCAATCTCCCTCCTCCACCCCCTCTAGCGAGAGAATCAAACTACTTACTTCCACCTCCAGGGTCACAGGTCTCCCCACACTTGGACCGGACGCCGGACGACCGGACGACGGATACCCGGACGACGGACCACCATCGTGCCACCGGAGACCATACGCCGGTAGATGGCACGCCAATGGAGGGTGTGACTTGGGACTTGGAAGCAGACCCGCCGGGCGACTCGATCCTGATGGACAACAGTGACGTGTTCTCTCAAGCACACAGTCCAGTCGCACACACCAAGAAGAAGAAGAAAGGGTGGCTGGCTAAAGTGTGGGGCGGCAAGAAGAAGAAGCAGCCGGACATTTTTGAGTTAGCGCAGCGACAGCAAGACGAAGTGGCAGGCTCACCGTCTGACATGGGCGACGGAGACTTCGCCGGCAGTGCGGAGCTTCCTGATTTTGCTAGGGCGGAGTCCGCAGCGAGCAAGTCCGCAATGACTAGGTCCGTGTCGACTAAGTTCGCAGTAACCAAGTCCGTAGGGACCAAGTCTGATCCATCAGTGGTGCGAGACTTTGAGAGGCCTGCCGTGCCCGACTCTGAATCTGTGCAGCGCGGAAGACTCAGCTCTTTCGAGTCGAATTCACCTATGTCCAGTTCATCCGGCGTCGCTTCCCCTCGGTCGGGTTCGCCACTGCGTCTGTTTGATTGCAAGGGTCACCACCGGTCTGAAAGCAGGGTCAGCAGTAACCACACAGGTAGTCATACGTCTGGTAGCCATCGGAGCAGTCTGCATTCATATACTTCGTCCATCAAATCGCATGTGAAGGCCAGGATCGAAGACCACAGAGCGCGTAAGGAGGAGCGGGCGACCCGCTCTCTTCACTCGGCGGACTCGCTGGACAGCGTTAACTTGTTTACGGTCTTACCGGGACTGGAATCTGAACCGCCTCCGCCAAAAAAGAAGAAGAAGTCATCGTGGGGTATCGGGAAGATGTTCAAGAAGTCGAAGAAGCACACTTCGGGGTCCTCCTCGGCGGTGAGTCGGACCGTTTCGTTCGCGACGCCAACTTTAGGTGATGACGCGAGCAGCAGTATGTCGCAGTCGTCGATGGACCGAGCTCCCACTTTTTCCACGGCGCCGATCATGGAGGCGAGCCACACAGACACGACCACCAGCAGGAAGAAGAAGAAGGGCTTTTTTGCCAAGGCCTTCGGTCCCAACGAGAAGAAGAAGGCGGAACAGCGGAAGAAGAAACTGGACAAAGCGCGGGAACTCATAGAGGCTGCCGAAGGTTTCGGCATCGGCCAGGAAGAGGGCAAAATACTGTGCACCAAGGAGGCCGTAGCGGAGGAAGAGAGGAAACGGCTGGACCGGATTCAACAGCAAACCAAGGAAGAAGCCATCGGATTTGTCCACGACTGGGCAAAACGAACATACATCGAGTACAGCAAACACTACATGTGGAAACATGAACAAGTCAAGCGGTTAGTTATTACCGACGTATCCACTCCCAGCACCGTCGCCAGTACGGGAAGCGATACACTGAGTGGAAAACAACGTAGGGATACAGAACTTGAGATACTTAAAAAGGACGCACTCAAAAAGCAAATGGACCAAGCTGCAAGCGAAAGCTTGCGCAAAGCAGAAGCTCTGAAACTCCTGGGACTCTCCGAAACAGCCATCGGAAGCCTCGACTGGAAACTCCTGAGGGGGGTAGAAGACTATGATACTGCGCGATTCGCCCAGTTGCTCCTGGAACTTACGAGATTCGTAAACACATGGTTTGATACACGCGCAGACAATGCAGTTAAAGAGTCTCACGCCGCAACGACAGAACTCCATATCCAACAATGGTTTTCTGACCAGTGGCTTGAAGACAATAAAGAGCTTAATAGGGATACTTACCAAAAGCTTGGGGTCCTCCAACAAAGCCGCTGTCTCGTTGGCCATTTTGATGAGCTCGTGCAGCAACAGATCAAAAATAAGCGCGACCAGTACTACAGGCAAATCTATGATCTTTCGGAAGACGTCGATCGAATCCATCAACACATTCTCAGCGCTATCTGTGAAGTTTTTGACACTCTGAAGTGTTGTTTGCTAGATAAAGACGGAAGAGGTGACTGGGACGGACCGAATGCCGTTCAAAGTATTTTGATGCCTAAGTTTCTGGTTAATTCAGTCAATGTCGCAATTCAAGAAAATTCGATTCGACCATTGGACCTGCCAGAGGTAACACCTATTATTGATGAGGAGGCGGCTCTCAATCAATCAACAGTGGACCTGGATAAGAAGCAGAAACAAAAAGAGATCGAGCGCGCGCGTGTGCGCAACGAAATTTCCCAATGGCGAAATCGAGTTTTGCAGCGTGCTGTAGCACTACCCAAGCGTCCTGTAGGGGCAGGGCTGCAGATGCAGACTAACATGTCGGATTGGGAGCAGTTGGAGAGGAAACTGTCGGATCGTTGGGGAAGTCAGTCGATGCTGCAGCGCTGGCTGGCTGCTTCTCTAGAGTGGCAGATGGTTGACGTCGCTTGCCAGTACGAGATCAGGAACGGGCGCATTGATGTTCAGTCGCTGATTGAGGAGAAAAAGCGATACATGATGGATGTGGTAGAAAAGAAGCTGGGTGCCTTCTGGTTGGCGCGTGCGGATTGCGCATCCAAGGATATGGTCGCGGAGTTGGCGGCAGCGTTGGAAGACGCGTTGGCAGGGCGCGTCGTAAACGTGTTTGAGCGGAGTCAGGTGGACGACGAGAGGTGCGCTATGGCGTATGAAGACGAGCGCATGCGCGTAGTGCCGCCGCTTGCCGCCTTGGGTAAGTCCAAGTTGGGGACACTGTTGAAGGCCGATAAGGAGACGTTTACCGACGTAGCCCAGTTGACACACCTGATTAATTCCTTGGTGGACGTGAGAGACATTATAGAGGACAATCACGCTATCCTGAAAGACGTGGAGATCCAGCGGTTTATTGAGGAGGTTATTAACCAAACCAAGCAGCACGAGAAACGGCTCAAAGCCCTCCAGCAGGAGACCCATGGCCAGAAAACGAGTATTTTCAAGCGGCGTGACGAGGCCGTCGCGAGGCGTGAGAAAACGCTAGACGCGATCAACGACGAGGAGGAAAAGATCCGGCTGGCCAAAGAGGCCATAGCGGAGGCTGAGGCGCTGGAAACGGAAGTTGAGAAGTTGAAGCAGTCTTTACAAACGGTAAAGAAGAAGAGCAAGGAGTATCAGCAAGTGGCGAAACGTGCGCAATCGGATTCCAAGAAGAAGGGCGGCTGGTTTTTTGGCACAGGCAAGAGCTCTAAAAGCAGCCGCGCTTCCGGAAGCGTCCCTGCGTCGGACCCCCGCGCTGATGACCTGGACAGCGACGATGACGGCCCCAGCAGGCGCGAACGGGCGGACCGGGAAATGAGACCCGACCAGAATGCGCGTTACGGCTCCAAAGGCGAGTACGGCGCAGGCTACCCAGAAGGCAGCCAGCGACAAGACTACCGTAAGTACGACTGGTATGACTCTGAACTGGACAACCGGGGGCTAGACAACCGCGTATTTGACCACCGCGGCTTGGACGGTCGTGGCTTGGACGGACGTGGGCGGGACGGACGTGGGCGGGACGGACGTGGTGAGGAGTCGCCGGCGACGAGCGCTGTGGCCCACACCGAGAAGCGACGAGGCAAAACGGCCAGTGCGGAGTCTCCGACCCGGCAGGGGGCGGCAGAGAATAAGGCGCAGCCAGCGTCCACACCCGACTGCGCGAGTCCGTCGCCGACGAAAAGCAAAAGCAAGTCCGCCAAGTCGCGCCGGGGTAGCACCTTCGGCGGCTGGTTGCGCGGCGGCGGCAGCAAGAAGCCACGCTCGACGGAGGAGGCGACCGAAGAAACTACTACGGTTGTGGAATCGCCGCCGGCTGCAGCGAAGGCTGCGGCCAAGGCGGCGGCTGCGGCTGCAGCCAAGGCTGCGGCTGCAGCCAAGGCTGCGGCGAAGGATGCAGCGCCGGCTGCAGCGAAGACGCCGGCTGCAGCGAAGACGCCGGCGGCCGGGGTGGAGAGGCGGCCGGTTGAAGAGTCGGCGGCTGTGGCGGTGGAGGAGGAGCAGAAGTCGTTGGTGAGTCGCCTATCGCTGGCGAGTCGCGGCGATAGTACCTTCGAGGACGACGCGGAGTTTTTCGGCGCGAAGGCGGACGCGCGTTGTTCGCGGCACTTGTCCTGGGAGTCGAGGGAGAGCGCGCTGCCCCCGCCGCAGCCGGACGGGAGTCCAGGACGTACGACGCCGACGAGTCTATTGGTGGACGGGAAGGAGAAGAAGAAGAAGAAAACGCTTTGGCGGAAGATCGTCAAAGGCGGCAAGAAGAAGGAGGCCTCGGGCTCGGTCCAGGGCGCGGCCCAGTTGACGCCGACCGCGACGCCGGGCGCGGGTTTGGGCTCGGAGGAGCCGGAGGAGTCGGATGACGGCGCCTCGACCTACAGCCGGGGACGGAAGTCGAGCAAGAAGCGCTGGGGTGGATGGTTTGCGGCCAAGCGCCGTGATAGTTCGGGCGATACGGAGGTGACCTCGGCGCTTGCGGCCGACCTCCACTCCAAGTCGTCCGTCTTTGTCCCCGGCGCCGAAGTAATCCGACTTAGTAGCCACGAGGACGACGCCCCGCCCACTCCGCCACCACGACGACTGGCGCCGGCAGACGCGCCCGAACCGATGCAGGTTCGCCTCGACTCCGACCGGGATCCCCAGTCCGCGCGAGACGCAGACGGAAGCAAGGCGGACCCAGCGGGGGAGAAAGAGGGAAAGAGGACGGACCCACCGAATGAGTCCGACGAAAAGAGGAGGGACGTCAAGAGAGTTGACTTGGACGCGGACAACGGGGCAAACAACCTGGCGAGCAGCCCGGCAAGCAAGCTGGAGAACAACTCGGGGAATAACCTGGAGAGTGAACTGGGAAACAACCTGGCGAACGAGCTGGCGAACGACCTGGAGAATGACAACCAAAGTCTCAGCTATTCGCCCGTCCGCGGACGCACTGCCAACTTCCCGTCAGACTTTAGTCCCCGGGAATTCAGTTTCGGCGAGTTCACGCCCAGCGACATGAATTCCCTGGAGCGGACTCCCAGAGAGTCTGCCCAGAAAAACTTTGGGCATTCAACTTCGCTGCCGAATAGTTGTGCGTCGAGGAGTGGGTTGCGGAGCTCTGTGCTGGAGGACCCACTCAGTATGCTCCAGGACAGTGCGCCCCTCTTGATCGACAGCGAGACACTGAACGGAGACGGACCCAACAACACGGCCCGCCACTCACTCCAATACAGTGAGGCCGATACGCTCCGCTTCGAGAATGTACTGCGGAACGGATCCAACGGGAATACCGCCACGGCTCTCTCTGCCGGCTCGCCTGACCGGTCCCTGACGAGTGCTGCGACGCCTTTCCCCGAGTTGGTTGAGGATCAGAGCATACTCGATCAGAGCATCCTTGATCAGAGCATTCTTGGTCAGAGTGTCCTGGACCAGAGTGTGCTGGATCAAAGTTTGCTGAACCAGAGCTTCCTGGAGCAGAGCTTCCTGGACCAGAGTGTGCTGGACAGTCTCAGTACGTCTCCGCCAGCGCGGCGGATGCGAATGAGCGTGGAGGACTCGCTGCACGTCTCGTCCACGACGTCGCCGGTGGGTTCGTCGCCACGCGTGTTGCCGTCTCCACGTGTGGGGGCACCACGTCGGTTGTCGCCCGGCACTTTTTCGCCGACGCCGCTATTGAGTCCACGTGTGGCGTTGCGTAACGATTTGCAGCCACCTCGTGTGCGCGGACCCGGTCGAGCGCATTTCGACCCTCAAACCTCGGTCGTCTATCTCGACCCGCTCGATGGCTTCACCGCCAGCGACGTCATGCCCGTGACCGAAGACCTCCGCGCCGGTAGTGGCTCGCTTCGCTCCGCCTTCGATGACGAAAGCGCGCGTACTGACCTCTCCAGCCTCCGCACCGACCTGGCCAAACCCGACCCGCTGCTCAGACGAGTCGGCAGCAACGACCTCGCCCCCACCACCATCCAGACCCGCGCCATCAACGATCCCCCAGTCGAAGCCGCCGAAAATCAGGGGTCTGTTACGGCCCGAGAACTCAGTGTGGCAAAGGAACTGGCTGCGACAGACCGGGAACCGACTGCCGGAGACCGGACCGCCG